CATTAGGACGGGAGTTGGAGGAACTGGACTGCTTGCTGCCTGGACTGCAACTCCCATGATCCCTGGCCCCCACAATGATATAAAATGAAGAGTTTAATTAGCAATTTTGAGGATTTCCTCCTCCCTGAGGTCAGCTTTCAGTGCCTTCAACCAAGTGAATTGCAATGGGCAGCTGTTAGGGAAAGGGACTTTTCAGTGGTGGCACCCTGGTTATGAAACACACTAACAGCAGATATGGTTACCTAGTCTGTTCTTTGTAGGCTTTTCAGTGCCAGAATAAGACCTTTTCTTTAAAAAAGAATGCTTCCAGTTTTTAAAATTTGAACTTCTGAAACCGTCCAATTTTATCTCTAAGGCACACCTTCAGCAAGGTGTTTCTCTAGGCTGGTTTATGCTCTGTTACTGACATTTTTATGCTAAATTTCAATCCTGGGGTATGTTTCCTGTTTTTTACTGTTCCCTGCTCAGTGTGGTAGTTTAATGTTTTATTACTGATAAGCTCCCCAGAGAACACGGAGATGGGGAGCATATAAACTTTGTTCCACAAATCATGCCATCAATAGTTGGGGGGTTCTATTCAAAATTCTGGAAGCCCAACACAAAAGCCAAGCAGAATGTACCATGTTTTCCTTTTTCGTGATTAAGACTCTCAACATATGAGGAAATGCAAAGCATTGATAAATCTGCTTAGGAGGTATCTGAGCAGCTCTGGACCCACAGGGGTGGGAAGGACGAGCAAGTTTAACTCTTTCCCTCCATGCCACCGAGGTTTCAACCTCTTGTAACAGTCCAGCTCCCGGTGGTGGGTGCAAATTGCCACCTCTCCCCGCTCATCCTATCAATCATTTGCTGACTGTGGAGGGAGCAATACCTGCCCAACTCAGCTGATATGCATGGATCAGCCTAAGTGGAAACTGTTCTGTGAATATGAATAATAATAATAATAATAATAATAATAATAATAATATAATCCCAGCCACTCTGGGCAGCTCCCAATAGAATATTATTAGTAAGAAAAGTAATAAAAAAGTGATAAAGCATCAAACATTAAAAACTTCCCTAAACAGGGCTGCCTTCAGATGTCTTCTAAAAGTCAGATAGTTGCTTATTTCCTTGACATCTGATGGGAGGGCATTCCACAGGGCAGGTGCCACTACTAAGAAGGCCCTCTGCCTGGTTCCCTGTAGCCTCACTTCTCGCAATGAGGGAACTGCCAGAAGGCCCTCGGAGCTGAACAATGGGGGTGGAGATGCTCCTTCAGGTATACTGTGTCAAGGCCGTTTAGGGCTTTAAAGGTCAGCACCAAGACTTTGAATATGCAGGTGAGAACGTGAGGGATTCAATTTTGGCCATGCCCACCACTGCCATGCAGCTTCCAGCAGATTGGTCAAAGGGTAAGACACTCCTTGCTTTGTGTCTATAGTTGTGCGATCTTTGTACTTCTGCATACCACAAGCCAAGCAGTGCAGACTTCGCAGTTGAGTAGGAGAACCATGGGATCAGCTATTACAGTGGTACCTCAGTTTACGAACTTAATCCGTCCCGGAAGTCCGTTCTTAAACCGAAACCGTTCTTAAACCAAGGCTCGTTTTCCCTAATGAGGCCTCCCACTGCCGGTGCCCTTCCACCATTCGGATTCCATTCTTAGACTGAGGTAAAGTTCTCAAACCGGGACACTATTTCCAGTTTTGCGGAGTTCGTAAACCGAATCTGTTCTTAAACCGAGGTACCACTGTATTACTTTTTCGGCTGCGTGGGTGCTCCTGAAGCTTCCTGGTTTGGTTTGGCTCAACATCAATAGCCTCCAGTTCTAGTGTGGAACTGTAGGTGGTTCCAGCTTACCCCAGGAAGCAACCTGGAAACAACACGTGTCTCAGTCTCATGACCTAAAACTCACCTTTTCGGGGAAGGATGGGCCCACACACCGTACCTTGGGCCGTAGCATCCATGCCCAGCATCCCAGTGCTGGGATGATGCTGATGTCCCTATGTACCATGCTTCAGTCCACTGCTCCAGTCCATCGGCTACTCCATTTCATTCCCCTTCCTACCTGGAGGAGGAGGAGGAAGGAAGGAATTATACGAGAATCCGTCCTTAAACAGCGAAAGCCGGTGACGTTAACAAACCGTGAGCACCGTGAAATTCCCCGGCATTTCATCAGGTGGCAAGAAGTTCATGTTACACTTGATCGCCAGATAAGTTGCCTATAAAAACTTTGCAGATATTGTTTCCTTATTTAAAGCCAACCACTGGAGTTTTCTCTTGGTCCTGTTTCCTTTCCCTCCATAACCACAGCAACAAGCTGCTGCTAGAGGGGGATTATTAGTATATCTCTTCTCTAAAAAGCTGCAGAAGGATTATGCTCAGAGAGTGTACCTGACAGCTTTGTGCCTCAGACTCAGCCAAAAGAGCAAAACGAACTCCCCTAAGATCACAAATTACTTTGTGCAGTTTTCATGCCGGGATCTTGCAGAGAGGTAAATATCACCAAGTTGCTCTTTAATGCGTGTGTGTGTCTACAGCTTGGATCACCATTGCCTATAATAGTTCCAAGGCTCTGGGTTTCTTTCCCAGAAATGCACTCTCACCATGCAAAACCCAAAGCACACTGGAGAGTTATCTTAAAGCCGATTTTAAATAATTGAAATTTTAACGTTCTCAAACCGCTCACCGTTCCGAAATTTATTCCTTTAATAACGGCTTTCTCTGAACGGCTTCACGTTGAAATGAGGCCTTCATTTCTTCCCAATGTTAAGGGACTGTCCCGTTTTGCAGGGTTATTTGTTAAATATTCAGGAGGAATTTTTGGGTGCTTGCAAAAGACTGCGGCGTTAGAAATTCATGGCGCAGGATGCAGCTGCGAGGAAGTTCTGGAAGGCCGTGCCAGTGGCATCCTCAAAGACAATCTGCGGTTGGTTGGGTTAGCCTAATCCCACCATTTGCCCCTTTTAGGGGTAGAATTCTGGTCTCTTAAGTATTTCCTAGATGAAGACTGTCAACAAGGCTCAATCAGTGCCAGATAATCAGCGGGGGTTTAATGCTTCTGAGAGGCACTTCCGCTTGAGACTCTGCAAAGGAATAATAGACTCCCCACCCCCCAGACAAAATGGACTCCAGCTATTTCTGCAGAGGTTAAAGGTTGCCGCTGCATTAGTTGAACCAGGCAGCCTGGCTGATAATGTGCTATATTAAATTTGGTGCGCAGAGCTGTTCAACTAACAGGTGTTACATTGTCAAGCAATAGCTCGGTGCTAGTTACTATTCACGCAAACCATTTTTACAAACAAGCGAGCTTCTTATGCGAGTCTTCATCACCTCCAGGCATTCCGATTCTTTCTTAAGTACAGAAACATTAATTAGATTTTGACCACAGACCCCGGATTTGACTTGCTCTTGACAGGGTTTCCATTAGCGTAATCTGTAGGGGAATTCACTGTTTTAACATCTGTGCGCCTCGGGCCTGTCTCACATTTACTGCCATAGCCTGAAAAGCCTCCCTTGTACGGCTGTATGTTTCTTCATGCTCCCAATTTCACAGAAGTCATTTCAGCACCAAACGGCAATTAGCAAAGGGATGGGCCCCAGCTGACATGAATGCAATTTATTGTTTTCCGAAAAGGCCCTGAACCAGGCAAACAAAGAACGCAGTCTTGCTGTCTGGCATTTTATTAACTTGTATTATTATTATTATTATTATTATTATTATTATTATTATTAGTGCACCTCACTGAAGGGAGATCTTCCAGCAAAGGCGGTCGCTAGTATGCAGTCGCATGCATGCTTCTGAAGAATATTAATTTCAGTTCAATTAGGCACATTTTGTGGGCCCTCAGCCTCTAATATAGGGTAGGCGCTTTCATAATTATCTCTGGTATTAACTTTATCATCGCCAGGCTTTTGCATAAATGCAACCTTTCATCTTTAAAATGCCAACGCTTCTTCAATTTTTGGCAACCATGCAGCATTACTAATTATTTGCTCATTATGTGTGGTTAACTGATGAATCATTAATAAATGAATAGATGGATAATATATTTTTATGGTAATTGGAGATATAACTGATTGCAGATTTCCAGAGCTTTTTCAAGCTGTGCTGAAGGAGGCAGGAGCTGCATAATTGTTTACAGGCAAGATGTGGGCCTCTGACAAGTTTTTTTTCCTTTTTCTTTCCCCTTACAGTTGTGGTTTATCACCAGGGAAAAAATTACCCTATCAGGATGTCTTCTACTCCAATAAAGCACTAATGGCATATGAATGACAACTCTTGTTTCACCACACATTTATTTCCAGAATTCGTGCCTTGAAGCAAAAAAAAAAGCGACGCCACCTTTTGGCGTCTTATTCCCGTTTATGTAAGCACATTCAACGTACATATGATGCTCTACAGCAGAAGCAAAGAGAAAAAGAAAACAAAAAAAGGCAAGTCCCTAATTAAAAGTGTAGATCCGTTAACACTTATTTGTAGGTGCAGAATTCTGCTTGTAGTTTTTAAACAGAAAAATACTGAAATTGTTAATAAGCATGGGCAGGTTCCCTTTAATTCATTTCGTTTATACAGTGGTACCTCGGGTTAAGTACTTAATTCGTTCCGGAGGTCCATACTTAACCTGAAACTGTTCTTAACCTGAAGCACCACTTTAGCTAATGGGGCCTCCTGCTGCTGCTGCGCCACCGGAGCATGATTTCTGTTCTCATCCTGAAGCAAAGTTCTTAACCTGAAGCACTATTTCTGGGTTAGCGGAGTCTGTAACCTGAAGCATATGTAACCTGAAGCGTATGTAACCTGAGGTAGCACTGTACTCCACCTTTCCTCCAAGAAGTTCAAGGCAGCATGCATGCTCATCCTGCCTCCCAGTCCATGGTTATCCCTGTTCTCATCATGTGTTAGCTAAATCACGTTCCATAAGTGCATCAAGGAGCCACAGCGATGAGCTACACACGCCTCTGTTAACACCTTCCACGAGCTGAAGGATGATCTTCCAAAGTGGGCAACTTCCTGTACTGGTGGAGCTTAGTCAGTAGAGATTGAGACTCTTAATCCCAGGGTTGTGGGTTCAAGCCCCACACTAAGCAAAAGATTTCTGCATCTCAGGGGGTTGGATGAGATGACACTTGAGCATACCCTCTGGCATTTCTCCGATGAAAATAGGGACGTCCTGTTCCATAGTGATAATTTTACTATTTACATCCTCCACATCTTATTGGGTTGCCCCAGCCACTCTGGGCAGCTTCCAACATATATAAAAACATAACAAAATATTAAACATTTAAAAACAACAACAAGACTTCCCTATACAGGATTGCCTTCAGACAGCTTGGGGGTCAGATAACTCCATACCCTCCAACAAGACATCACCGTGCCAACAAAGGTCCGTATAGTTAAAGCTATGGTTTTCCCAGTAGTGATGTATGGAAGTGAGAGCTGGACCATAAAGAAGGCTGATCGCCAAAGAATTGATGCTTTTGAATTATGGTGCTGGAGGAGACTCTTGAGAGTCCCATGGACTGCAAGAAGATCAAACCTATCCATTCCCTGAGTGCTCACTGGAAGGACAGATCGTGAAGCTGAGGCTCCAGTACTTTGGCCACCTCATGAGAAGAGAAGACTCCCTGGAAAAGACCCTGATGTTGGGAAAGATGGAGGGCACAAGGAGAAGGGGAAGACAGAGGATTAGATGGTTGGACAGTGTTCTCGAAGCTACCAGCATGAGTTTGACCAAACTGCAGGAGGCAATGGAAGACAGGAGTGCCTGCTGTGCCTGCTGTGCTCTGGTCCATGGGGTCACGAAGAGTCAGACACGACTAAACAACTAAACAACAACAACAACAAGGAAAAGTGGGACATTCTGAGATCAAATCAGAAACCAGGATGGCTTCTCTAAATCAGGGATGTCCCTGGAAAATAGGGACACTTGGTGGATCTGGTATCTGTGAGCAGTTGCATGCTAAGGCTTTATGGGGTAAGGGAACAGAAAGAGTGAAGCAAGAGCTTCTCTGGTTTTCTTCATCTTCCAGCGCTTGCATCCAGGAGTCTCCAGATCAGAACTGATGCTTGTTAACTAGCCAATGTCACCAAATCTTCCTGCAAACAAAGCAGGATGGGTGTTCAACAAATAGCCAATGTCATCTAATCTCCCTCCATAGAAATCAGAATGAGTGCTCAATGAACAGGTTGTCTGGAAGCACCCAAAGTCGTATCCAGTGTAGACCCATGGAAATCAAAGTCCTTTTTTCCAATAGGTGACTGGGGGAAGAAACAAAGTTGCCGACTTATAGATCACCATCACAGATATTTCTTCAAAACAAGGCATTGAAAAAAATCCACCTTAAACAACAACAAAAATGGGGGCAGGCACACATAGCTGGGAAACATGACTTTCCTAGTGTGGTGCTCAGGAAACTCAACGCTGGAAAAACCAGTGACAAATGAAAGAGAGATTTCCAAATCTGAACTGTAATTATTTAACCAGGTGGGCCGTCTTTTCCTAATGATCCTTTCCATGAAAGCCGAATAACTAATGAGGGTCCTAAAGAAACCTTTGTCTTTCCATGTACTAATGATCACATTTATAAATATGCAGAGAGGGGGCCCCCCATGCATGTTGCTAATGATAAGTAATTAAGCACTAGGCATGAAAAGCTACAGAGAAAGGGTCATGTTAATGCAGGGAGAAATTAAGAATGCAATAAAATAAGTTGTGTTGCAAAGATTAAACTTTTGGCCTCTGCCATTTTTGGTATGAAAAAACATCTTTCTTTGCAGTTAAAAAAAAATTCTGGGTCTGGCACTCTGGTAAACAGAGTGCTCATTTTCTTTTCAGTTAATTTTATGTGCTTTGCTCAGTTAAAACAAAAAAAAAAAGCAATACACCATCCACAGAAACCAACAATCATCTCCCGGCCAAATTGCAGTGTCTTTAGAAAGAGAGAGTGAGAGAGTGAGGGAGCCAAATTTGCCATTAGTTATAATCTTCCCTCTCCAGAAGTGGTTTCTAACTTTTCTTGGCAGTGGAAAACAGGGACGTACTCAGATTAGAATCTTAAAATGTATCCCCAATGATGATCGTACACACAGGAGCCTTGCCCCGAGAAGGTTTTCTCAGTCTGAGGAACCACCTCGAGAGTAAAACGTTTAATATAGCTTCTCTTATTGGACTCAAAAGGATCTGTGACCTTCACAGGACAATCCTAGGTATGTGATTGCAAAAGTAAATTCCAGCAAGTTAAATGTAGGGTGATCAACAGGCCCTCTTTTCCAGAGGACAGACTTCTGCTTAAAGGGCTGTCTGTCCAGGTTAAAAATAAAAATAAAACCTTTAAAGATATTAGGAGCCTTGAAGCTGCTGACCAGTAGTTTGCAGCTTGAGAGCAGGGGGAGGAGGCCCACCGTGGTGAGATGTATTGTGTTTCAATTACAGTATATCATGAGCGGCACTCCAAGCAAAATGGAGCTGGCTTCCCCAGAGCATAGGGCTGCCGTATTTCAAATCCAGACAGAATATTTGTTGAGCTTTTTTTTTGAGCAAAATCACAATTTAAAAAAAATGCAGTTTTTGAGCTATTTGAATGGAAAAGCGGCAACTGCCGACAGGGGCTATATTACGTCCAGATTTTCCCATACATTTTCATGCCGGGATACTGCTGCTGACTGCTGTATTCCAGATATGTCCGGACATATGGCAACCCTACCAGAGCAGGGAGCCTGCGACCCTTCAGCGCTTGTTGGACTGCAGCATGGCCAACAGTGAAGCATCATGGGAGTTGTAGTCCAACAACATCTAGAGAGCCACACTTTCCTTACTCTAGTACAGTGGTACCTCGGATTAAGTACTTAATTCGTTCCGGAGGTCCGTTCTTAACCTGAAACTGTTCTTAACCTGAAGCACCACTTTAGCTAATGGGGCCTCCCGCTGCCGCCGGAGCACGATTTCTGTTCTCATCCTGAAGCAAAGTTCTTAACCTGAAGCACTATTTCTGGGTTAGTGGAGTCTGTAATCTGAAGCGTATATAACCCAAGGTACCACTGTACTGTGTTTCTGAATCGCAGCCTAAAACATCTCAAAACATTTTAGAACAGCTGCATATCCTCACACAGCTAATGATTTCAAGGTTGCCAGGAACAATATCACACCCTCCAACATTTAAGAATAGGGATGTCCTAAATAAATTGATGATGATGTCCTAGCCACTCTGGGTGGCTTCCAACATATATAAAAACATAATAAAACACTGAATTATTATTTTTTTTAAAAAAAAATCTATACAGGGCTGCTTTTAGATGTCTTCTAAAGGTATAGTTACTTAACTGCTTGGCTTGGGGGGGTCACATAACTCCATGCCCTCCAACATTTCTCCAGTGAAAATAGAGATTGTTGAGAGTTTGCAAAAAAAAAACAACAACCCCAAAACTCAACAACTTATTTGCCCAGATTTTCACTTTTGGAAGTATGGCAACCCTACTTTAAATGCTGGCATCAAGCTATTTCTATATTGGGAGTAGGAAACCTGGTGACTCCAGATGTTGCTGGGCTCAAAAACATCTGTCAGCATGGCCAGTGCGCAGGGATGGGGATGGTAATGTCTCAGGGGCTACAGATTCCCTTCCCTGTACAAAAAGTTGTTTCTTTACTCAAATGCAAACGGACGGGTTTTGATTGATTTGCAAAAATTCACCTAGCACCTAACTGTGACAAACCTTCAAATCCACTGGGTGTGCTCAGACCAGGAGCTACTGCTGAACATAACTCTGTTTCATGTGCATTAAATACGAAAATATGCAGTGATGGGCTGGTGCTATCCCTGGACCCGGTGGTTAAGTGGGGACAAGACCAAGGAGGTCTTCAGTGGGATAAGAACGTTGAGACTCATAAGCAAATGTGCAAGATTGCCACAAAGGACCGTCGTGGCAATTACAACACAGAAGTTATTCCTGTCTGGTCTGCGTAGGAATTTTGTCATGTGCAAAGTGCTCCTCAGAGTCCAGGAAAGCTTTTAGGAAGAGTCAAGCACAAAGAAGGGACTTTGTGGGTGTTTTCAACCCTACGTGTTGTTTGTAATTCCCAGCAAAGTACACTCAGACTATTAGGTCCATTCCAAACTGCATTTTTCCTGATATTAAAACCAAGACAGCCACTGTATATGAAGAGCCAGAACAAACATTTCTAATTTTTTTATATATGAAGGGAAAGCAGTTACTTTAAAAAAAAAAATATTAAGGTGAAACCCATAAACCCTGGCCTTTGAAGATTTCCTTTAACACATTCCTATTAAATTTCCAAACTGACCTTTAATTACTTTGCAGACTGTTTCTGACACCCCCCTCCGGATTGCTTCCCTGACTCCAGAATGAAGCCCCATAAATAGAAAAGCTGTGTGTCCTTCCACAGGCAAGTGGAATACGCACATACGACAACCAGCCAAGTTGGTTTTAACTTTTATGGGCTGCGCTGCTCGGCCTCCCTGCTAAAGCTGTTTCATTTTGACTGAAGGGGTGGAGGCGGGGGAATCAAATAACCTGAAATAAACCCCTGCCAAAAAGGTCTGACCTGCAGCATGCAAGCCAAGGCAGTTGGGCTTGGAAAAGATCAATGGCTGTCATTGAGACAAGCGTCTCTCCCATCTTCCCACCCTTAGCGAGGCTGACAGATGTTCTTTCTTTTAATGCAGCATTAAGTCTAGTGGATCAGAAGAGCTGGACAAAGTTCCCCCCTTTTCCTGTGATTGGCAGGACTCCCCTTCCTCAAATAGCCGCAACTGAAACGGAGTGATTGCTTGGGGATGGTCTGTGCAAAAGAACTACAAAAATTGTTTCGAAAAGGCCCTAGTAGTGTGGAACGAGAAGTGACAAGGGCAGGCCTGTGTCTTCCAGTGCAGGTAATAATAATAATAATAATTGTTAAATTGTGGGTGAACATATCAGACGACACAGCGATTCTTCAAACAGCTCTTGTTTATTCACAGGCCAGGCCAGAACTGGGCTGAAGGGCTCAGCCAGCCTGCTTATATAGAGCTCAACTACAAAGCAACAGTAACAACTTTCTGTAACTATCCAATCACCTTCGACTTCTGAGGTA